AAAACGAACGACACTTTTGGTGCACATGTCATCTGAAGAACAGGAGGAATGGGTTACTGTGGGTGTCATCGATCATTATCATCTATATCAAACATCAACACATTGTCCTAACAAATGGTACGAGAAATGGATGACAAACCGAAAGGCCAGTCGTGTGGGAACTAGTCTTGAGGCGGCAGTTCTGTGAGCACTGGTAGCCAACAAAGCCTTGGCGTTAGGCCTACCACTCACACAGACACCACACTCCACATACACACACCACATGTAATGCTGGCCATCGGTCACCACAACTGGTCCATAGAGGCATCCAATGTGCAAATGGGTTCACTTTATGGCGCTTTTGATGAATATATGGCGATCACTGCATCAGTACATCAGTGCCTCCCATAAGACAGACATCTAATAAGACATAAAATGAATGAAACCAACAGTCAGTCACTCCTATAGCTATAGTGAAGTATAGCTCACTATAGCTCTCTATAGCTCTCTCTACAGCTCTACTCCTATACAACACTACTTGAGCTTCAATCGTTTCAGTCGTTTCTCTTTCACTACACTCTATGCAGCGCTATATCTCTGCTATTGTGTACTACACTGTAAAGCATTGCCATAGACTCGCATATATCGAGTCACACACAGGCATACACTGCACTGCCATCCCTTACACACCATTCACTCATCATAAGCCTATAATCAAAATGTTTGCCCCTTTGAGACAACACATACGCATTACAATGAAAGCACGTCATACATACATATGAAGCACCACCACCATACCTACACCCACCCCACCCATCACCACCACCATCACGCACACACATCACCGCCAACACTTCCAACCTCAACTCACATACATCCACTTACCACACATTTACCATTCAATGGGTTTCAGACAATTCTTGGCGCAGACTATTTCATTGTGAGACACAATACACGCAATACATGCTGTGATGCGACCACTGATTCAGTCGATGCAGTCGACCATAAATGACGTGCAAAGCAGTTAGCGACCACGAGAGAGTTTGAAACTAAATTTAATTTTCTATTCAATTGGATTGAAAATAATTAACAAATTGTGTGATTAAACGGCACTTATGTTAGCAATGCATTGGTATGTCAGTGCACTACACCACACGTGTGTCCACTCACTCGCACTCACTATTCAATGACTAATTGATTGACTATTTATCGCACGTTATATGCAGTGAAAGCAGTGAATCAGTGAATCACTCATTCATTCGCTGTTTGAGTGAATGTTTTGAACGAAAAGTGAAAACTAATTGTAATCGTAATCGACGTCCAATTGGCTGTCATTTACCAATTGATCCACACTTTGCACACCATTTACGACACTATAACTCATATATGATGTGATATATGGCTCAATAGGACTCATTAGACTGCAATCAAGCAATTGGTAAGAATTGGGTGCAAATGAGTGACCGAATAGAGGGCACGGGAGGGGAGTGGGAGGGCCGGCAGGTGTGGTAGTGGTGGTCGGGTAGTGGTGGTCGGGTAGTGTTGATGTCATACTAATGACCATTGAATCCATTATATAGTGTTTGGATGCCATGAGTGTCTGTTTGGGAAGTTTGTCATCACTTCAGAGCCAAATACAAGTTTGTAAACCGAAACCATTGATGACATGCATTGAGATAATGATTGTTTGTCTTTATTATGGGAACAGTTGTTGACTCCATTGACAACATGTTTGGCCTCTATATTCAATGGCAAGCGATCTCTCGAGAGGCGCTTCCGAAGGGGTGACTCTGAAGTGGTATCCGTTAAAAGTGATGATTGTGTCAAAGAATCGGTTAGTTTTGAGAGTCTGGATGTGACTCTCAATAGCCTTAAAGAGATATTTTGTGATAAAAAGTCACGAAAACTATTATTAGAAGAATTTGTTTTCAATTCAAGTGATAAGAGTTATGCGAAGAATAGAATCGCAAGAATTCTTGTCAATAGGATTCTTGCGACCAAACGGGAACCGCTTCGATGGTGTACTTCACACACGTCTTACTCGTCCTTCGATGACAACAAATGTGAGCTCAGAATAAGTGCTAAATATATCAGTATTTGACATATTGTTGAATGTGTGGTTTGGTTGGCAGACCGCGCCATACATGCCTTACATCCACAGTATAGGCTGTTCTCGAAATGCATGGCATCGTTGACTCTTCACAACTACTCTGCCATTCGTACGTTTAAATCCAAGACAACCACTGGAATCGGAAGCGGTTCCAGAAGTAGAACTATAGATAAGGAGCAGACATCGATTGGACACATGAAGTTGGGCTCCATTTTTGGACTCAAGAAGGATAAGAGTACGTCCACAGAGAGCGACAAAATTAAGGAATACCTCAACGAAGATAATCTCAGTCCTGAAGATAAGGACAAAATTAAGGTTCGGACTAATAGTTAGAATTGAGTTGATGTGCAAAAAGTAACGTTTTAATGGTTTGACTGCAGATCGCCTTCGCTGAGGGATATTTGGCGGCAGAACCCAAGTCTAAGACCTCTTCCAAACTCAGAGTGTTTACAGTATTTCGCGATTTAATGGGAATTGTATTGATTATAGCGATTCTGTTCTCCTTTATGGGTGAGCTTTCGGGTACATTATATCCATATTCTAGTCTTGCCTTTTATGCCTTCCTTTTATGCCTTCCTTTTATGCCTTCACTTTACTTTCTTTTGTTTTTATGCTAAACTCAAATCAAGTATTTGTTTAAAACTGTGATTATTGTGTTGACGGACAGGCGGCTCATTCCGACGCGTACTGATTGGTGGCACGAATGAAGTACATCCCGAAGACATCGACGTGACATTCGATGACGTGAAAGGAGTGGACGAAGCGAAGCAAGAACTGCAAGAAATCGTTGAGTTTCTCAGAGATCCCGAGAAGTTCTCCGTCTTAGGAGGAAAGTTACCCAAAGGTGTTCTACTGGTGGGCCCACCCGGCACTGGAAAGACACTGTTGGCGCGCGCGGTGGCCGGCGAGGCTGGGGTTCCCTTCTTCCACGCCGCCGGTCCTGAGTTCGATGAGATACTCGT